TTATCATATTTTACAACGTAGTAAAAAAGGTTTGTTAATTTTCTTATCCTAATGGACAAAATCGAATTTTCTTCGGGATAGTGAGAAGCCTAGTTAATATCATTTTTGGAAACTCCTCCATGATAAACGAAAGTAATAACAATATGAAAACATATTTCTAATTACCTCAAATCTTGAGAGATGAAATGTAGAAAAAAATACAGTCACGAACTATAAAATATGAAAAACAACATTACTAATCTCTCAGTTTATTTCATACACATATCTATTATCACTGAAATACTGTAATTTATATTTTATTAATGCACCCATATTGTTCTACATTCATAAATGATGTATCTTCGTCATGGTTGTACGTGTTATACATACCACACGAGCTGCATACATTCAATTATTTATCTAGGGGTATTTTTCAAAATATAATTTCGGTTTACTTCAAGTCGACACTTCCATTAAGACAATAACGCAGATATTATTTTCGTAGTTTTTACAATAAAAGTCCATAACTTGTTATATCAATTTTAAATCATAAAAATCGAATAGATTTAATAGTCCTATTATTAATACAGTATTCTAGTAACTCCAATTATCAGTTAGATTTATCTAATACTTTTTCTATTTAGGTAAATTACCTATCATTGATTCCGATGGTAATCTTGTTTCATTAATTGCTCGTACTGATTTGGAAAAAAATCGAGATTATCCATTAGCATCAAAAGATAATCGTCGACAATTATTATGTGGAGCTGCTATAGGTACACGAAAAGAAGATGAAAAACGTCTTGAAGCTCTCGTACAAGCCGGTGTTGATGTTATTGTACTTGATTCATCTCAAGGAAATTCTATTTATCAAATTGATATGATAAAACGTATAAAAAAATTATATTCACATATACAAGTTATTGCTGGAAATGTTGTAACACAAGCTCAAGCAAAAAATTTAATTGATGCCGGTGCTGATGCTCTTCGTGTTGGTATGGGTAGTGGATCAATTTGTATAACACAAGAAGTTATGGCTGTTGGCCGTGCTCAAGCAACAGCTGTATTTAAAGTAGCTGAATATGCTCGTCAATTTGATGTACCAATTATTGCTGATGGAGGAATTTCATGTGTTGGACATATTGTTAAAGCATTAACATTAGGAGCTTCTAGTATTATGATGGGTTCTTTATTAGCTGGTACACATGAATCACCCGGTGAATATTATTATCAAGATGGAGTTCGTCTTAAGAAATGTATGAAAAAACAATTTATCTAATCGATTCTCTATGTCTTATTTCTTTTTTTGTAAAATTAGATCGTGGTATGGGTAGTCTTGAAGCAATGAATGCTTGTCAAGAATTATCTGCTGCAAGTCGATATTATTCTGAAACTGATCATATTAAAGTTGCTCAAGGTGTTTCAGGAAGTGTTGTAGATAAAGGTAGTATTCATCGATTTATTGGTGGTTATCTTTATACAGGTATACAGAAATCACTTCAAGATATCGGTTGTCAATCTATTGAACAATTACATAAAGAATCTCATCAAGGAATTCTTAAAGTTGAAAAACGTACAGCATCAGCGCAGGTTGAAGGTGGTGTACATAATTTACATTCATATGAAAAAAGACTTTTCTAAACAGAAAAGGAATGTGTGTTTTTTTTATGTTATCAGGTGATGAATATTTACATTCTATTAATAGTTTTCATGATTTTTTTTGTTACGATTCTACATCATGTATACATTTGATCATTCCAATGTTTTGTTTACAATTTCTTCAGATGGTTTTTTGTGTATCTATTAATAATATTCTATTATGTGCATTATTATTTGTGTTTATGTGTGTTTAGAACAACAGTGAAAATCTCTTTTTTTTTGCATCTATTTGTATAAATATTACAAACTAATAAATAATTCAGTGTTATAAGATTTAAACTATATTTTATATTTTGTTAGATCTTTTTTGCCAATAGTTGTTCATATATGACAAATATATAAAATGTATTGAATATTTCATACTGTATCAATCTAATGTTATAGCTAGAATGACACAATTTTTGATTCATTGTTTATCAAATAAAGCTATAGCTGTGATAGATACTATCGATATCATAGAAGAAATGTTCTATTTCAAGAGAAACGAAAATGAAATGTTAGATTATAAGTGCTGACTTAACCTTTGAATTGTATTAAGTAATGTTAATTTGAAGGCATTCATATTAGTATTAAAAAACTAATTTAATATTTTGGCATTAGTATCATGCTAATACCTATCATAGTTATCTCGCGTCACACAACAGTGGTATTTTGTTTGTAAAGAAAAGACGCACAGAAAATGACAAAACATCAATCATATAAGTTTCAAACATACTTCAATGATATACACATGAATGTATATTTATCAATATCCATAGAACAAAAGCATTTTTATTGTTAGTATGAAATAAAACAAGAATTTACCCTTGTTTTATTTTGATAATGCTTATATAGATATTTATCAAGTGTATTCTATTTGTATGATTTTGGTCATTTTCTGAAAGTCTCTTCTCGACAACTAAAATGTCACTGAGGAGTGACTCTTGCACAACCTCTCCCAGTTAATCAAATCTTCTCCGCACTCACTCGTGATCATTTGTTTTTTTATACCATAAATATATAATTAACATCTTATTTCTAGGCAAATTTTGATTTCAAATTTTAAGCTTTAGCCATAGGTTAATATTGATGCCAAAGTATTAAATTAGTTTTCCTACTTAATATAAAGTATTAGTATATTTTGAAACAGTAATGCTAAGCCAGCGGTCTTATGTTAGACTTTGCATTATCATTATATCAACAAGTACACATCGAACATTTTTGTTTCAGGCGATGTTTTTTTAACCTGTCAACTCGATTGTAATTAATTAACAAGCAATTCGAATAGGATACATTGATTTGATTGTAATCAATAACAGTACTATATCTATTTGAAAAGTATTGATTCAAATGAATGGAAAAGAAGCCTGAAAAGTTCTTGAAATGTATGAACTTTCAACGAATAGAGAATAGCACGATACCTTATATCGATTTAAAAACGATTTGGTCTTAGAATTCTCAGTCAATGAAAAGTATAAGCCAACTTCGATTAATACATTTCACTCTTTTCCTTCAATACTATGAAAAATGAGATGTCTAATTTGTTCTAATTGACTAAAATATATTTGAGTTCTTGAATAACTTATTTAATCGAATACATGTAAAGAATAATTCTAAAGCATCTTCGTAATAATGGATGTTCATAATTTATTAGAAGAAAATATGCCTTGAGGCGGCTGCAGGTACTGAAAGAATAGATCCATATCCTTAAGATGATTAATAACTAATTACTTTACTCAGAAACTGAATTTCATTTAAATTGAATTGCGTATTATATATAGTTTATTGTCAATCATACGATAGCTATTCATTTGTTCTTTTTTAATTAAATGAAATACAGAGTGATATAGGTCCATGTCTTTTTTACTTATAACAGCTAAAAAAACAAAATGTTTCCTCGTTATATTTGATTTCATTATATTTTCCTTTTTTTTCTGAGAATAAATAGAAACAACTTCACAGTACATGTCTTTGACCGAAACGACGAGATGTTTCTTCCCAAAGAATATTTATTGAAAAACATACAACTTATTGACATTTCAGAAAAATAACTAAAATAATTAGGAGTTTGTGAAATCCTGCTTTTTTGAACTAGAGACACGGTATTTTCCGAATTAGATATAGACGAGATCAGGTTTGTTTTTATTTGAAACTGTTATTTAGTATTAGATGATGATTTTTAGGAGTTTTAATGAATATATAAAATAGAAAACTGCTTTTAGGATTATTCGCTTTTTCTTAAATTAAAAATGCTAAAAGCAGTTTTCTACTTTCCATTCAACAGGTTATATAGTATATTATCACATATAAAAAGAACTGAGAAACGACAGTTTTACAGCATTCAGCAGATGTCTTCTTCAACTAATTATTCACATAAATATCTCTCTCAACTAACATTTTTCAGCTTCTAATTTCTACAAGAAACGATGAGTTCAGTTCCATTCCCATTATCATT